AAAAAAAAAAAAAAAAAAAAAAAAAAAAAAAAAAAAAAAAAAAATCTTAAAATTATCCGGGTACAGAGGCTCATGCCTATGTGACATGGAAAAAGCCCCATAAAACTGCATACCTCAACCATACCTCAGCTTTCTATTGAAACTGCTCTCTGTGACCCTAATGTGAGAGGCAAGCAGTCCAAACCCATACCACCTTGGCTCCTGCGACTTGTAATAAGTAACTAAGGTCTGTAATTCCCAAGACTACCAGACAATGTGTAAATTAACATTTATCTTGATTTCTGTAAACCACTTAAGTAACAAACGGAATGACAAAAGTCCCCTGGCCCTTGGAATGTCCGGAGCCCCTCACCCTCATCTCCGCCCAGCAGGTGATTTACAGAAGCCACTAGCCCTTGGAATGTCTGAAACCCCTCATCCCCATCCCCACTCCTAACCCTCAGCCCCGAGGTGGTTTTAGGGGTATAAAAGGTCTTGACACCCTCCTTTCGGGGCCACGGGTTGGAGAGACGAGAGTCCTCCATTGGCCGCCGGCAATAAAGACCCTGCAATTTGGCATACTTTTATCTTGGTGTTGACTTTCTATGCTCAGTTCAGTACAACACCTATAGTCTCAGCTACTTAGGATGCTGAGGCAGGAAGCCCAGGAGTTAAAGGCTGCAGTGAACTACGATCACATCACTGCACTCAGCCTGGATAGTACAGTAAGACCCTGTGTCTAGAAAAAATAAAACAAATAAAAATATTAGCCAGCATTTATCAAACACTTACTATATAGGAAGACATTTGATTATATCTTTTGTAAGGATCATGTCATTTAATCCTCCTAACAACCAAATGGAATAGGTGCTTTTTCTTCTCCAATTTACAGTTGAGAAAGCTGACCACAATAACTTGCCCAGGTTCTCATAGTAGCAGGTTGAAGGGCTGAACTTGAACCATGCAGGCTGACTCCAGGGCCCAAGCTTTTCACCACTTCTGTACGCACGTACGACATGCACGACCTGGTAAGTACTTTGGGCAGAAGGTTGGACTTGAACCACATGGGTGACGGCCAGTGCTCAGGCATCAGAGAGGAAAGCTAACTTGCTGTGCACAGTAGAAGGAGAAGATGTGAAGTTCCAAGGCTGTTGGAGGTGGGGAAGGGAAGCAGCAATGAAGACAGGAGCCAGGGCTTGGTGACACATGGGGAGTTAGGCAGGAGGCAAGCCTAGACAGAATCTCTGTGGCATGATCACTGCAGGGGACCATTCAAGAACAGGATTGTGATATTGTTCTCTCTACGGCATGCCATGTCATCTGTCCTTGAATCAGCTGCCTTTCAGTAATGTCTACTTGATGCACAAATATATATATATATATATAT